AACTGCTCCCCACAAAGCCAGGCAGGACTTTGGGGAGCCTCCTCCCCCTTGGAGCAGACCATCCTCAGGGCAAGAAGCTCACACGGCTTCACCTCCTGGGAGCATTCAGCATATGCCCCTCCGTGCGCTTCCCACAGCAAGTCCGTCCAGGCGGGGTCCTGGGGGGGGGCAGAGGGTCCTGCACCCCCACTTTCTAGTCAGCCGTGACTCTCAGCCAGCCAGTAAAACAGAGGTTTATTAGATGACAGGAACATGGTCTAAAACAAAGCTTGTTAATCCAGCAAATGGGACCCCTCGGCCAGGTCCATTCTGGGGCCCAGCGAGGCAGACCCCTGTCTCCCCTCTTCTCCAGTCCCCAGCCAGCTCCAAACTGAAACCCTCTCCAGCCCCTCCTCCTCTGGGCTTTGTCTCTTTCCTGGGCCAGGAGATCACCTGATCTCTTTGTTCACCTTTAGCTATTTCCTTGCAGGGGGGGAAGGGGCCCTGGCCATTTGTTGCCAGGGAGACAGAGTGTCCGTGTTTTATGCGCACTGGCCTTTACCCACCACCTAGAGACCTAAGAAATGCATAGGGGAAACTGAGGCACCCACACAGTATTCAGAGGAAACATTAAGAACAGTCCCACTTCGTCACAGTCACTCAAAACGTGGCCTGTCTCTTCGTCCCTCTGAAGCGCCTGGCACCAGCCACTGGCGGAAGACAGAGCTCTGGGCGTCTGACCAAGTCTGGCCGCTCAGAGGTTCTTAAGCTTTTGAGGCCCATATTCCAGCAGGAACGGGGGCCCCATAGACCTCAGGGGCCCCATCTGGGCCAGGGTGCCGGTGCTGCAGCCTTTAGAAACAAGGCCACTGAGCTCAGCGTATCCATCCCCGGCTGCCTTGGGATCCGCCGGGTGCCAGCCCCCGCAGGTCACCATAGAGGCTTCAGTGATGCTTTGCCTGTCCCAGGGCGCTGGGCTCCTCGCCAGGGAGGTGGGGTACAGGCATCGAGAGAGGCTGGGACTCCGTGCCAGAGCTGGAGATAGAACCCAGGAGTCCTGGCTCCCAGCCCCTCCCCCTGCCCTACCCCACTAGAGCCCACTCCCCTCCCAGAGCTGGAGACAGAACCCAGGAGTCCTGGCTGCCTTGGCCAGCTGTCGCTGAGGCCTGAGTGGGGTGGGTTGGCCCGCCCGGCCTGTGGTTATGCAGGGCCTCGGGGCAGCTCTCTAAGGGCGTTCTCCCCGCCAGGTGCCACGTGTGTGCTGAAGAGGAAGTTCTCAGCCAGCCAGTTCTGGGGCGACTGCCAGCACTACGGGGTGACCGTGTTCCAGTACATCGGGGAGCTGTGCCGCTACCTTGTCAACCAGCCCGAGGTCAGCACTGGGAGCTGGGGGGGCCACACAGTGCCAGGGGCCCCCTGCTGGGATTTGTACCCAGTTCCCTCTGGGTTGCCACTTCTTAACAGTGCTGACCCCTGAGCACGGCCCCGTGCGCCCCAGCCCTGGGGTGGAACGGGGCAGCTGGTCTGCACAGGGCCAACAGGATGTCCAGAGCTGTGGGCACCATATGAGCACAAACCCTCCTCCCCACTGGGATCCACCTGGGGAAACTGAGGCATGGCAGTGACAGGGCCAGGAACAGACCCTTGCGCAGGCAACAGGGCGGGAGCCAGAGTCTGGGTTCTCTCCCCGGCTTTGGGAGGGGAGTGGGGGCTGGTGGGTTAGAGCAGGGGGGCTGGGAGCCAGGACTCTTGGGTTCTGTCCAGGCTCTGGGAGGGGAGTGGGGTCCAGTGGTCAGAGCAGGGGCCCTGGAAGCGGGGTTACTGAACAGGTTATGATCCTGCATTAACCTCGGGTCTGGGGCGGGACTATCCCCGCACTGAACCAAATCCCCCCACCCCAGAGAGAAGGGGAGCGGGATCACAGCCTGCACCTGGCCGTGGGCAGTGGGCTGCGGCCCGACGTCTGGCGGGAATTCCTGCAGCGCTTCGGCAACGTCCGCATCGTGGAGACCTACGGCATGACCGAGGGCAACATCACCTTCTTCAACTACACCAACACCCTGGGGGCGGTCGGCCGCGGCAGCTTCCTCTACAAGGTGAGCGGGGCCGGGCCATCGCCGGGTGGGGGGCTGCGGGTCGGGGTTGAGGAGCACCGGCCGGGCGAGGAGGCAGTGCATGGGGGGTCTCTGACTCTCTGCGCCTCTTTCAGCTCTTCTGCCCCTTCGAGCTGGTGCGCTACGACGTGCTGGAGGGGGTGCCGGTGCGGGACGCGGCCGGGTGGTGCCAGCGGGTCGGCCCAGGTGAGCGGCAGGGGCTGGCCGGGAGGGAGGGGGGAAGTGGCCGGTTGAGGCCCCTGCTCACTGCTGCCCCCCACAGGCGAGACGGGGCTGCTGATCGCGCCGGTGACCCCCCAGAACCCCTTCCTGGGCTACGCGGGTGGCCGGGAGCTCTCGGAGCACAAGCTGCTGCGTGGGGTCTTCACCGAGGGAGACACCTACTTCAACACGGGCGACCTCATGGCCCAGGACGCCGCCCAGTTTGTGTATTTCCGGGACCGTACCGGGGACACCTACAGGTACCAGAGCCGCAGGGACACCCCCGCTCCCCCCCCTCCGGCATCCAGAGAGACACCCCGGGCAGCCCCAGGGCAGTCAGCCCCCCCAATCATCCAGAGACCCCCAGGGCAACCAGCCCCCCCCCATCCAGACCACCCCCCCCCCCGCCCCCTGTCCAGAGCCCCCTCCCGGGAACCCAACATCCCAAAGGGCAGGACCCAGAGCCGCTGGTGTTTGTCCCTCTCGGGTCGACGGGGCTGCTGGGTTCGGCCTCGTGCACAAGGGCCTGACCTGGGTGGGCCTGGCAGGGTCCATGAGCTTCTCCCATGGCCACCTGCCCAGTCCCCCCAGCATGGGGTCCCTGGAGAGCTGGGGGTCGGGGGCTATGGCTCTGCCCCGCTCAGGCCGCGTTTGCCCCCAGGTGGAAAGGTGAGAACGTCGCGACGACGGAGGTGGCCGAGGCCCTGGCTGCGCTGGACTCGCTGCAGGAAGTCAATGTCTACGGGGTCGCCGTGCCAGGTACCCCCCCAGGCTGGGTTCCCCCTTCCCCCTCTGCCCCCTCCCCCGCAGGCTGCTGCCAGGGGCTCCCCAGGAAAACAGGAAGCCGGGGCGGGGGGTACAGCTGCCTCCTGGAGCCCAGTGGGAGAATGTCGGGGTGGGGGGAGGTTCTGTCCCTTCTGTCTCCTCCCCTCACCCAGCACAGTCTGCCCCCCCATAGTGTTCATTGCTCCCCCTCTGCCCCAGGGTACGAGGGCCGGGCTGGGATGGCCGCCATTGTCCTACGGCCGGGCTGCAAACTGGATGGGGCCTGTCTGTACAGCCACG